CTTTTTTTTTTTTTTTTTGAGACGGAGACTCAGTCACCCTGGGTAGAGTGCCCTGGCGTCAGAACTCACAGGAACCTCAAACTCTTGGGCTCAAGCGGTCCTATTGCCTCAGCCTCCAGAGTAGCTGGGACTACAGGTGAGCCCCACCACATCCAGCCAGTTTTTCTATTTTTAGTAGAGATGGAGTCTCACTCTTGCTCAGGCTGGTCTTGAACTCCTGAGCTCAAGGAACCCACCCACTCGGCCTCCCAGAGTACTAGAATTACAGGTTGAGCCACAGCACCCAGCCAGAGACTAGCTATTTTGGGATGTGCGGACAGATCCTTGTGAGGATAAGAATAAGTGTCCAAGGGAGAGGCCTGCCCCGGGAGCTTGCCCCTCACAAACGTGGGCCGCCAGGATGCCCCTCACAAGGATGGCGCCGGCGGGAGGCGTGGTATTCTTATTGGTGCAGGAGAGAGCTTTGGGTGACGCTGATTGGCGTAGAGCGGGGGGGCGCGCCGGGGAGGGGCAGGCGAACCGGGGCGGGGCGGGGCGCGTTGGGGCGGAGTATCTCCCGCCCTGGCCTAGCGCGCTGCTTTCCGCTACGGGACTATGTCGCAGGCGGGGAGCCACCTGCGTGCGGCTCTGTCCCTGGCAGCGGTTTCTGCGCGCGGTGTAAAGACCCGTGGCTCAGTGAGCCGGCGGTTGAGCGCGTGGCCGGTGCCGCAGGAGCCTAGCATGGAGTATCAGGTAACCCGCGGGCGGGTGGGAGGTCGTGCGATGACACGTGGGCCGGGCCTAAACAGTACAGCATCCGGGATCCGCCAGCTGAGAGGGTACCAGGAGCTCAGGACTCGGGGATTCAGGGGGCGGGAACATCCTGGAGTCTGAGGGTGGGAATAGGGACCAGGAAGTTGGACCCAGGCTGCCGGATCTTGTAATTCTGAGGCTTCTGTGTCTTGCATTAAAGAGGGATGGTGCAGTGGTCCAGAGGTTCAGTTCGTGTTCTGGAAGTTCAGTGACCCTGGAGTACGAACAATCAGGGATGGAGGAGAGGGAAGGGATTAGGGAATTCAGACTTGAAAGATCTGTAACTGTGGACCTAGGCCGTTAGAGTCGCCAGGATTTCAGAAGATTGGGCATCTAGGTGCCTGGATGTTGAGCAGGAATCAAGGAAGGTCCCCAGCATCTGGAAAATAGAAAATTTCTGTGGGCGTTGTGCCAGGGGCCAGTTGCCAGAGGCCTAAACCTGCTGCCAGCCAGACTGGTGACACCGGTTTGATGGGGGTGGAACCTTCCATCGACCATGAGGCCCTGAGGACAAGAGACACAAAATCTCAGGCCTGAAGGGTAATCAGCAGCACCCTAACTCAGCCCCAGTATAGATTCTCTGGAGGTTGTACCTGCCTTTCTTGCTGGCTGAGTTACCTTCCTTCCTACATGCTTTCTCTTCCCTCACCTATTTGCTTCAAGCAGCAATTCTCTGGGTCAGAATGTGGAATTCCAGAGACCTTAGGGTTGGGTGTGGAAGCCTGAAGGAATTCGGGCATTTTTTTTTCTTTGTTTCTTTTTTCTTTTTTTTAGATGGTCCTCTTTGCCCTGGGTAGAGTGTAGTGGCATCATCATAGCTCACTGTAGTCTCAAACTCCTGGGCTCATGTGATCCTCCTGCCTCAGCCTCTTAAGTAGCTGAGACTACAGGTGCACAACACTTGGCTAATTTTTCTATTTTTAGTAGAGATGGTGGTCTCATTGTTGCCCAGGCTGGTCTCAAACTCCTGACCCCAAGCAATCTTCCCTCCTTGTCCTGTGAGAGTGCTAAATTGCAGGCTTGAGCCACCTTGGCTTTAGGAATTCTGGAATTCTACTACCCCAGCCTTCTGTTCTGGGGTGGGTCTCAGTACAGTGGCGGACCCCATTGGAGAAAGTGAGAGCAAAGGTCCTAGGGGTGAAGCCTGGGGAACCAGAGCAGGAAACAAGGCTAGCTCCGTTAGGCATGCCTCTTTCTCTGCTTGGCACACCCTGGGTGGAGCTGAATTGCTTCAGGCTCCCATCTTTGCCAGAGCTGGAAGAATGCCACTTCTCCTTTCTTGTTTCTTAATTTATAGGCTGGGCCAATGGGGCTGGCACAGCAAGCCTGGTATCAGCCCTGTTTCCCTGGCTTGGCCACTGGTATGCTATCTCTGTCCCTGTGGATCCTAACTTGCTATTTGGGGACTGTGGTTTCCAGGATGCTGTGCGCATGCTCAATACCCTGCAGACCAACGCTGGCTACCTGGAGCAGGTGAAGCGCCAGCGGGGCGACCCCCAGACACAGCTTGAAGCCATGGAGCAGTATCTGGCACGGAGTGGGTTGCAGGTAGTATATGGAGGGCCTGCGATCCCTCGCCATCCCATCTGTCTGTGAATCTTAGCTGAGATGAGGACCTTGTCTGTCTGTCCCAGGTGGAGGACTTGGACCAGCTGAACATCATCCATGTCACTGGGACTAAGGGGAAGGTGAGGGGCAGGACCCAGGTGTACGGGATCCATTTTAGTGGGCTGATGGGTGGGGCTTGCCCAGACAATACCTTTTCTTTCAAGGGCTCCACCTGTGCCTTCACTGAATGCATCCTCCGAAGCTATGGCTTGAAGACGGGATTCTTTAGGTACTGAGTGATGTGGTATCCCTGTCCCTATGGACCCTGGGGAGCTATGGAACCAGCCATTGCTGACTCCTAGGAGGTCAGCTTCATGTCCCTCTGGGCAGCATTTATTCATTCAGTAAACATTCAATTAGCACTTACTATATTGGCCTAAATTTACAGCAATTCTTGATTTTCATAAGGAAAACAATTGTGGGGGGGCAGCAACTCAGCAACTTGAATATATAAAGTATTTACATAGCTGGAATAGTCAGATGTCTTTTTAATAACTTAAATTCCGCATATAATTTAAACAGCACATAGAAATATTTATCAATTAAGATGTTTTTACAGTAAAGAGCAGAAAACTGGCTTATAACAGTTTAAATGATAGGGGCATTTGGGACATCCATGGCAAGGCTTCCGAGGTAGGCTGCCATCACCACCCTCTTCCACTCCATCAGCTTCAGCTGCAGCTTGGCCCTGGAGGCACTGCTCTCTCTTGGCCCCAGTCAAACATCTAGACTCACACAAGAGGACGGCAAAGCAGGACCTGGGTCACTTCTCCCTGTGCCTCTCCTAAGCCAGGCACCAGTGAAGAATGGAATTAATCTGATGGTTACTTTCTTAGGATTTGTCCCTTGAGGGTGAGGCATTTAAGCCTTTTGCCTCTTTTTATTTTACCAGTTCCATCAGGCCACCTCTGTAAGCGTGTGGATGTCCCAAACACCCCTATCATTTAAACCAGCTGACTAAGGTCATTCAGGCTGATATATTTTCCTTAAACAGTTCTTTGTTCAAAATAAAGAAATAGAAGGATTCATAATCCCATGGGGTCTTTCCAGATTCAAACATGAGACACTAATTTGTCTTCTAAAATAACTCTTTGAGTAAAAGCTATAGCTTCGACTCACCCACACAACCATGTTGCTCAGTCTGGGGACACAGCTTGGTGCAAGCCTTGTGCCTGAGGGTTAAACAGTGGACAACAGGGTAGGCAGGTGTTAGCAGAGTGACTGACTAGGGGAGGGACAGGGAGAGCCTGGGACTGCTGGAGCCCAGAGAACCTGAAAGACCTTTATCTTCTTTGCAGGAGGGGCTGTCTTAGTTGAGACTTGTGCAGTGAGCAGGGTGAGCAGTGAAGAGAGAGGAGAAGAGCAAGTTCAAAGGCCTGGAATGAGAAGGGATGGGAGCTGGAGGGGCAACAAATAGTCTGGGGTATCTGGGACACGAGGAATGAGCTAAGGGACACAGGAGAGGTGAGGCACAAAGCCCCGTGGCATCAACCTCTGTAGGGCCCAGGAGGCCAAGGTGAGGAGCTGGCATTCTCTCGAAGGCATTGGGGAGCAACAGAAGGTTTCCAGTAGGAGAGTGATATGATCAGACGATCAGACTTGTGTTTCCAAAAGACAAACCTCCCCACAGGGCAGGGGTAGGTGAGGGGCATGGGAAGGGAGTCCTGATGACCCCAGGTCTCCCGGCAGCTCTCCCCACCTGGTGCAGGTGCGTGAGCGGATCCGCATCAACGGGCAGCCCATCAGTCCCGAGCTCTTCACCAAGTACTTCTGGCGTCTCTACCACCAGCTGGAGGAGACCAAGGTGCGCTGTGTGGGAGGGCTGCAGGTGGAGAGGGTAAGGGGTGCAGCACATTCCAGGACCCCCTCTCCCCAGAGCAGCGGCAGTAGGGGTTGCAGGGACTTGGGGCTCTGACACACTCCTGTGCCACAGGACGGCAGCTGTGTCTCCATGCCCCCCTACTTCCGCTTCCTCACACTCATGGCCTTCCACGTCTTCCTCCAAGAAAAGGTACATGCCTACGCCCCAGATCCCTGTATCTGAGGCCTTGGGGCTGAGGGGCTCCCTGCTCCCTGTGGTGTCTGCCACTCTAATGCCCTCTGGTCTTTGGCAGGTAGACCTGGCAGTGGTGGAAGTGGGCATTGGTGGGGCTTATGACTGCACCAACATCATCAGGTGAGGGCAGCTTGAGGAGGGGTGGTATCCGGGAGCCCAGGCCTGCCTGGTGGCTCAGGGTAGGGCCCTCATGGCTTTTCCGTCATCTGCAGGAAGCCTGTGGTGTGTGGAGTCTCCTCTCTTGGCATCGACCACACCAGCCTTCTGGGGGACACAATGGAGAAGATTGCATGGCAGAAAGGGGGAATCTTTAAGGTGTCCAGGCAGGCTCGGGGAGGGGAAGTACATGGAAGGTGTGGGCCTGAGTAGGCCCAGGGAAGCAGGGTTGGGGCAGATCACTTTGTGTCCTGATTCCAGATGAGGTTCTGGGTGCCAGTGGGCTCTGGGTTCCTAACTAGCTCTGCTGTGTGCAACTGGAGATAATTGAACCTCCTCTCCAGCCTCAAGCTCCCCAGTAGAACACGAGGGACAAGAGGCTAAGGGGATACTAGACAGCCCCTGTCTCTCCCTATTCCCTGCAGCAAGGTGTCCCCGCTTTTACTGTACTCCAGCCTGAAGGTCCCCTGGCAGTGCTGAGGGATCGAGCCCAGCAGATCTCAGTGAGTCTGGTTGGAATGGGCAGGGCAGTCTAGGTGGATGGCTGGGGATGTCTGTCTGGACTGGGGAGGTCCTTTCTTTTGGGCCTCAATCTGTGCTGTGTTGTGTAGCTGGAACACGTCTCAGTTATGGGAACAGGGCTTGGTGGCTTCTGGTTAGTAGGGGGAGATGGGAGGGCTTATGGGATCAGAGAAGGCCTCTTCTGGCCCTAGTGGTGGCAGTAGCTCTGCTGACCAGATGCTGCCTATCTCTCCACAGTGTCCTCTCTACCTGTGCCCACCTTTGGAAGCCCTGGAGGAAGGGGGACCACCGCTTACGCTGGGCCTGGAGGGAGAGCACCAGCGGACCAATGCTGCCTTGGCCTTGCAGCTGGCCCACTGTTGGCTGCAGCAGCAGGACCACCAGCGTGAGTGGGCAGTTGGGTGGGTAGGTGCATGTAGAGCCTGCCTCAGAAGGTCCTGAGCACACTTGTTCTCACGCACCCCACAGGCACTGGGGATCTGAAGGTGTCCAGGCCCAGCCTCCCGTGGCAGCTGCCCCTGGCACCGACATTCCAGCTCACATCCCACATGCGGCTCGGTGAGTTGGACTTTCCTGCCCAGCTAGGACCACTGCTTGGATTTGTGTCCATTCAGATACTTCCTTTGGTTTCCTGTTTGGAAGGTGAGGCAATCTGAGGTGGTGCCTAAGAGAAAGGTATTCTAAAGTCAGTAAACGTCCCTGACCTTGAGTTCACAAATTCTTTGTGAGCTTCAGTTTCCTCATTTGTCAAATGGGATGATCATAGGACCCACTGCTGTGGGCTGTTGTGGGCTGTTGTGGGGATCCAGTAAGATGACATTGCTAAGGCACCAAGTCCAGAGCCTGGTGATATGGGATAGTGTCCAGCTAGTGGTAGCTGCTATCACTGTCATCTTTGTCATCAGATCATGAAGTTGTTAAGGATGGTAATACAGTCATCTGCTTCTTGCCTCCCCCAAAGCTTTTAGCATACACTGGGTGCTCATGCTGTTGATGGCATACCCACTGTATTCCAGGTCCAGTGTCAGGGGCTAGTGACACAGTCCTGAAGCCAGACAGACCTCAGATCACATCCTGGCCCCAGAACTTACTTGCTCTGTGAGCTAAGGGATCTCTGGCTGTTAAGTGGGAATAATCTATGATAGCAGCCCCCTCTTAGGGGTGCCTGTTAGAGTCTATGGGATGAGGCAGCCAAGAGCCAGCCTAGTGCCTGGTGCTAGTAAGAGGCTTTGGGGCCTCAGAAGGCACTTTGGGGAGAGTCAGCTGGGTGTGCAGACCAGGACTTGGGTGGGAGAGCAGCCAGGAGGGCTTCCTGGAGGATTGCCTTGCATCCTTTCCCAACCGCCCAGGGCTTCGGAACACGGAGTGGCTGGGCCGGACTCAGGTGCTGCGACGCGGGCCCGTTACCTGGTACCTGGATGGTGCGCACACCTCCAGCAGCATTCAGGCCTGTGTGCGCTGGTTCCGCCAGGCGCTGCAGGGCGGCGAGAGGCAGAGCTGGTGAGTGAGTAGGACTGGGCTGGGGGCAGGTCCAGTAGAGGTGGGTTGGGCCTGGGGACAGGGGTGGGTTTTGGGAGAAGGGTTGGAGCCAGAGGCACTACCATCTGACCCCCTCCCTGCCCCTGGCACAGTGGGCCAGAAGTGCGTGTCTTGCTTTTCAACTCCACTGGGGACCGGGACTCCGCAGCCCTGCTGAAGCTGCTACAGGTAAGGGGCCAACTTGGAGGTGGGTGGCAGACAGCCCAGCAGCCCTGGTTCTGGCTGTGTGACTCCCCTTGGGGGGCCTCAGTTTCCTCAAGTGTGAAATAGTGCTAATCCCCTCTCCCTTGAATTGTCCTGAAGATTAGATGTGAAAGCACTGGACACTCAGGAGTGTCTACTTATAGGTCATTATCTCCATCCTCCTGCCTAGGTAGACCACATAGTGGTTAAAGGTGAACACATCAGATTCTCTGTCATGCTCCTTAGCCTCTAAAAGCAGGATGAAAGATAGCATTTCCCTGAGCCTTGGTTTGCCTCTCAGTAAAATAGGGTACCTGCTTTTCAAGTTAGATTTAAGAATTCACCGGGCTATAAAGCATGTAGAGAGCCTTCTCTGCTTGGGGAAACGTGCTAAAGCGCCTCCTAGGAGTCATGTCCCATTTCACAGACCAGGAGGCTGAGGCTGTTGGTATCTAAAACCTCTCCCATTCGTGTCAGGTCTTTTCCACAGCCTGGATTTGGGGCTGGCTCACTAGCTAGGTGACCTTAAGCAAGTGCCCCCCAGCCTCTTTTGCCCCATCTGTCCACGTACATTAGCCTTTGCCCCTGCTCCCCAGGCCACACGGCAGGCAGGGTATGTTGGGCAGATGCAGGGGGACTGAAGTGCTATGGCTGAGTTTATGTGGCATCCCTCTAGATCATAGTGGGGCCATGTGGAAGTCAGGGGGCATTCTCTCAGGTGTCTGACACAGTCTTTCTCATTGACCTTCTAGCCCTGCCAGTTTGACTATGCTGTCTTCTGCCCCAACCTGACAGAGGTATCATCCCCAGGCAGTGCAGGTGAGAGGTGACAGGCATGGTTATTGGGTGTGGACAGGGGGCAGAGGGTCCTGAGGTGGACTGCTCTGTTGGTGACAGTGGGCACTTTTGAACTGGAAGTCTGGAGTAGGAGATAGATTTGATTGTATGATTAAACTCTGGTGTATTTTGAATTTTGTACTATGTAGTTGCAATACTAAAAAAAGAGTTACCAAGGAGAACATTTTTCAAAATGCAGGTTACATAGCCCAGTGATGATTATTGAAATCAGTTTAGTTGATCTCAACCAGCATTTTTTTTTTTTTTTTTTGCTGTTTTTGGCCGGGGTTTGAACCCACCACCTCTGGCATATGGGGCTGGTGCCCTACTCCTTTGAGTCACAGGTGCCGCCCTCAACCAGCATTTTTAATTTCATTTTATTTATTTATTTTGTGACAGAGTCTCACTCTGTCTCCTGTGTAGAGTGCTGTGGCATTATCATAGCTCACAGCAACCTCAAACTCTTGAGCTTGAGCAGTCCTCTTGCCTCAGTCTCCCGAGTAGCTGGTAATACAGGTGCCCATCACAACACCTGGTATTTTTTAGAGATGGGGTCTCACTCTTGCTCAGGCTGGTTTCAAACTACTGAGCTCAGGCAGTCCACCCACCTTGGCCTCTTGTAGTGCTAGAATTATAAGTGTGAGCCACTGCGCCTGGCCAGCATTTTTTATTTTAAATGATAGCATAGAAGATAGTTATGCATTGCATGAAATAAGTGTAGGTACGGCTTTGTGAAGACTCTTCTGCTCCAGGAACATACAAGGGCTGTCCAGAAGGTATCCAGCCATATAATATGGAAAAAATAGATACACATGGTTGGATGCTTTCCGGATATCCCTTGTATATATGCATATGAGTGCTGAGTCACAATATAAAATGTATTTTTACCGTGCATCATGTTTTTTAAAAGTTTAGAATAGTGTAAAATAATACAGCTCTCTAGGCCTGATATCAGATTGGGGAGAGTTCTGGAATCTGCATTTTTAGCTGACTTCCCAAGAAAAACTTATACCTACCTGGTGGTGGGCCTCCACTGTATGTCCACTTAACAGATAAAGACAGTGAGGCCAGGGTGGGGAAATGGTGCTTAGAGGGCAAGTGCTTTGGGGCTAGACTGCCTGGTTGTGCCTCTCATGACTCTGGGCAAGTCACTGAACCTGTCTGAACCTGTTTCTTTCTTTCTTTCTTTTTTTATTTTTTTTGCAGTTTTTAGCCAGGGCCAGGTTTGAATCCGCCACCTCTGGTATATGGGGCTGGCGCCCTACTTCTTTGAGCCACAGGTGCCACCCGAGCCTGTTTCTTCATAGTGCCCCCTGTAAGAGTCACTAGCAGAGTCCACTGACATGTGTTTAAGGGTCTGGCACTAAGCAGGTGTTCACGGTGCACCTGCCCCCAATCTTATCTCTGTCCCTCATTCTCTGTCCCCTTCATTGACATGGGACTCTGTGCCCAACAGACCAGCAGAATTTCACAGTGACACTGGACCAGGTGATACTTCGCTGCCTAGAACACCAGCAACACTGGAACCACCTGGATGAGGAGCAGGCCAGTCCGGACCTCTGGAGCACCCCGGCCTTGGAGCCTGGTGGGCCTGCACCTCTGCTGCTGGCGCCTCACCCACCCCACAGCTGCAGCAGCAGCTCCCTTGTCTTCAGCTGCATCTCCCACGCCTTGCAGTGGATCAGCCAAGGCCGGGACCCTGTCTTTCAACCCCCTAGCTCCCCAAGGGGCCTCCTTGCCCACCCTGTGGCAGGTAGTGGGGCCAGTGTACTCCGCGAAGCTGCTGCTATCCACGTGCTGGTCACCGGCAGCCTGCACCTTGTAGGTGGTGTCCTGAAGCTGCTGGAACCCTCCCTGTCCCAGTAGCCAACATGAGAGGTTGGAGGTGGGAGCCTCCTGCACCTGCCCTGCGTGCTCTCCATGAACTCAAATCCTAGGTGCCTTTTGTTTTCTGCTTTACTGATTCTGTCTTGACTGGCCCAGGGTCCCAGGCTCTGGGTGGCAGAATAGAGGGCTGGGAGAGGATTTCCTCTGTCTTTGAGGCTCTGTGCCTTGGCTTCTCCCTCCTGCCTGAGACAGCCGAGAGGTTCCCAGGTCTCTCAATGTAGAGTAGGTCTGACCACTGGCCCGGGGCCCCCACCCTGCCTGCCTCCTGGCTCAGGCCCAGGTTGCTGTGTGAGCCGCCTGGCCAGGCCCAGTGTCCTGCTAGGTGCTGGGCAATAGATTCCTCCTCCCACTGCCTTCTGAGAAAGGTAAGGGCCCCTGCCTGGGGCCCCCTGGGGACAGAGGGTGGCTGGAGTAGATTAAAGCTATTAATTCTTTTTAAAGAAATGGCAAAACCTTTGACTGACTCTTGACCTCTAGCTCCTTCAGTAAACAGCAGGGGGTAGGGCTACAGCTGGTAAACTAGATTGTGTAGAGGGAACCTGGAGTGTGACAGGTCCCTTCCTCCCTAGAGCCTTAAGTGTCCTGTCTGGGTCAGGAAAAAAACCAGACTGATGTCCTCTAATAACA